CTCCACGGCCGTGTGCGCCTTGTCCGCGGCCCCCGAGGTAGCCGCCGCCGCCTGCTCCTTGGCGGCCGCCGCCACGTCATGCGCCGCCGCGGCCACGACCTGCGCCTGGGCCGCCACGTGGTCCTTTGCGGCCACTGCGGCGCCGTACGCCGCCTCCGCAGCAGCCTGCGCCCCGCCCGCCGCGCCCGCCGCCGCCGCCGCGACCTGCTCCTTGGCGGCGGCCGCCACCTCCTGCACTGCCTCCGCCGCCGCCGCCGCCTGCTCCTTTGCCGTCTGCGCCGCGTGGCCCAGCGCCTCAGAGGCCGCGGCGGCGACCTCCGCGACCTGCGCGTGGGTGAGTGTGTGTGCGGGCGAGGGGGGGTGGTGTCGGCCATAAGAAGCTGGCGTCAGCTGATGCGGGTTTCAGCCCCTGGTTGTGCTAGGCTCATGGCTGGTTGGTTGCTGCTGGGGGAGAGACTGGGTCGAGGAAACCTCAGCCAACGCCTGGCTGTGCAGGTTCTTGTTGCCTAGCAGCCGCAGCAAATCTTGCATGGCAATACAGCGCAGGCCCCCCCGCTGCTGCGCAGCGGCCCCACCTTCTCGCCAACCACCGCCGCCGCGCCGTCGGCCTCGCCCGCAGCAGCAGAAGCATGCTCCACCACAGCCTCCTTGGCGTCCGCCGCCGCCGCGCCCGCGCCCTTGGCGGCCGCGCTCGCCTTGTTCGCGGCCGCCGAGCCCGCCGCCCCGGCGCTCTTAGCCGCCTCGGCGACGGTCTCCGCCACCGCCGCCTCCACATCCTTGGCGGCGGCAACTGCCGAGCCCGCCGCCGCGGCGGCCGCGCCGTGGGCCTGAGCGGCCGCCGCGCTCGCCTTCTCCGCGGCCGCCACCGCCACATTAACCTTCTCTGTGGCCGCGGCCTCCTTGTGAGACAGGGCCTTGGCGGCCGATGCGGCGGCGTCGGCCGCGGCAGCTTGCGCCGTCTTCACCGCGGCGCTGGCCTTCTCCGCGGCGGCCACCGCCGCGTCGCTCGAGGCGGCCGCGGCCCCGGTCGCCTTCTGAGCCACGGCGGCCTGCGTCTCGGCCAGCGCCGCGGCCGCCGACTCGGCCGCGCCGGCCGCCGCGGCCTGCGCTTCCGCCGCCACCGCGCTGGCGTCCTCCGCAGCCGAGGCCGCCGCGTCGCCCAAAGCCTCCGACGTATCGACCGCCGCCGCCCGCGCGCCCGCCGCCGCGCCGCCGATCTTCTCCGCGGCAGCGGCCACCGCGGCGCTCAGGGCGGCCGCCGTGGCCGCGGCCGCCTCCCGGGCGGCCTCCTCCGCGCCCTCCACGGCCGCCGCGGGCTCCGCGGACGCGCTGTCAGCCGCGTTGGCGGCCCCGTCCGCCTCGCCCTCACCCTCGGCCCCCTGCCCTTCCTCCTCCCCCTCCTCCTCCTCCTCGGCCTCCTCCTGGTCGTCCGCCCCGTTGGCCGGCGCCGGCGCCCCGCCAGTGCTGGCGCTGAGCTGCAAACACCTGGATAACCGGCCGGCGGGGATGATCGTCACATGGGTGCATCCCTCGCCTGGCCGCCTGGGTGCAGTCGGGGGCGCACAAAGGGCCAAGCATTCAAGAGTGCGGTTTGTCGTGCATTGGTGCGTGGCCCGGCCCCACCTGCCGCTGGGCAGCTCCGTGAAGCCGACCTCCAGCCCGCTGATGGACTCGACGGCGCTGCAGAGGGGGTTGCCAAGAGCGGTGGCGCGTGCAGGTGAGAACGTAAGCAGCGCAGGCAGCCATGCATACCGTCAGTTATGCAGGGGATATGAGGTGCGGGGCGCGGGCACCCAAGGGGGCTCTCAGCAGCCGGCGGTCGGCCCCCGCGCGCATGCCGACGCGTGGATGCCCACCCCTGCAGAGTCTTTTTGTCGTCCTTAGTGGCGGACGACAGCACGAGCCTGGCGCCAGGGTGCGCCGAGAGGGCCGCCAGGAACCACTCCGCCACCTCGGTCAGCTTGGCCTTGGACTTGTCGGACTGAAGGGGTCGTGGGTGGGTGAGAGATCGTCGCGCATGCGTGGGTTGCGCGCGCACGCGTGCATATGTGTGTGTGTGTGCGCGCGTTAGCGTGCATATGTGTGTGTGTGTGTGTGAGTGTGTGTGTGTGTGTGTGCGCCAGTGCGTGCGTGCATGTTTGTTTCATGTGGAGGGGGGGGGAGGTGAGACTGTGAGGGTGTGACGGGGCAACCCATCAGCATGCAGGGTACCATACAGGTCCGGTCGGGCCCCCCGGGAGGTGGGCGAGGCGCGGCCGCCCCTGTCGACTGGCCAGCACGAGCGGGGCGATCGCAATAGCAACACGAGCGTGGCGCGCCGGCCACCCCGGCTGCTCCCACGCGTGCGTACGCCCTGCACGCACCAGCGTGAGCTTGGTGGCTCCCGGCGTGGTGCTGGGTTTCTCCTGAGCGGGGCAGCCGTCCAAGGAATAGCCCTCGGCGCCAAACAGCAGAAACTCGAGCACCTGAAAGTGGGGGACCACGCGCGGCGCCGGTGAGGAGAGGGGAGAACGCAGGTGACCACAAGCAGCCACTGCAGGTACCGGTGAATGCTGCTCGTATGCCGCTGCAGTGTCGATGCGCGGCCCACGGGACAGAACCGTGATGCCAACCCTGCGTACTTGGGGTCAAACGACACGCACCTGGCCGGGCTGGGCGCTGGTATTGCCGCCGCTTCCCCTGCCCCTGCCGGCGCCGCCTTTGCCGCCACGCTTGGCAGGCATGTTGTCAGAAATCAGCGCTCTAAAGACCAAGGCGGGCCTGCAGCAGTGAGGCGATGGCGATCGTGCATGTGCAGCTGCCGCTGCTCAGTGAGCGCCGGCTGGGTGCTGGGCAACTGTGCTGGTCTTCTTCAATCATGTACTACTACGGGTATTATACGCTTGCTGTCCGGATATGATGCAATTGCTGGCTCAGGCCGGAGCACGCCGTGAGCACGAGAATAGGATTGGCACGAATGGTCGCGTCGCTCCAGGTGCATGCATATCATAGAGCTTGATCATTCTCGCAAGGGTTTTAGGCCGAAGCCCGCAAGCCGCAAGGAGCAAAACCAGACTCACCACGCTGTCACAAAACAGGGTGTTGACGGCTTTCACTAGGATGTGGCAATCCCAAACAAATGAGGAATTTACGTGATACTGCTCTAGGCGATCGAAGCAACCCTGGTGTGTGATCTGGCGTTTGTCACTGACATGGATGTCAACCGCAAAAATGTTGACAACAAGATCTATGGTGATTAATGTTGCCTGGGACATTTCGTAGCCTCTGCCATTGACAGGCATTCGCACCCAGGACGCTGCCACCAGGCCGGGCAAGTCAGCAGCCAGTCAATCCCATCGCAGCCAGGCCATTCCATTCAGCAGTGCTGCCATTTGGCAGGCTGCAGATAACCAAAAAAACATGATCGAGGCCCTGCAATCTGACCTCTGTGCAGAAGAACACTCGCGGAAAACACCCTCATCAATCAGAAGCATCCAAAAGCTCCATCCAGGTCTCCGCTGCTGCCTAAGTCAAGCTTCACTCCTGCATGCGCGGCCGCGGCGCGGCACCACCACTGACATCTGAATGCACCCCCGGAGGATGCCTGGACGACTGGGAGTGGCTGCGCCATTTTGTGAGTCGTGCTCACCGCCTCAGCAGGCCCAGGGCCACAAGCTGGGCGTAAAGCTCACCCGCAGGATCGCGCCCGCCACCAGCTGCTTCGCTGCCGCCGCCTCCTTTGCTGCTGCACGGGATGCCGCTGCTGGTGGCTGATCCTGCCGGCCTAGAGCTGCCACTTTCATCCCTCTCCTGCTGCTGCTGCTGCTGCTGCTGCTGCTGCTGCTGCTGCTGCTGCTGCTGCTGCTGCTGCTGCCTAGCGTGCTGAAGCGCCTGTGGATGTCAGTGATGTGAGTGGCAGTGTGATGGTTGACATGAGGCTTAAACAGGGAGAGAGAGAGAAAGTGAGTGTGTGTGTGTGTGTGTGTGTGCGTGTGTGTGTGTGCGCGTGTGTGCGTGCGCGTGTGTGCGCGCGTGTGTGTGTGTGTGTGTGTGTGCGTGGTGTGTGTGTGTGTGTGTGTGTGTGTGTGGTGTGTGTGTGTGTTGCATGCACATGAAGGCCTTGTGTCCCTACTTGCTGTGACGATTGCGCGCGCGCA